GTTTGTAGGTGTTCAGAATGGTTTGATCCCTATCCAGCTGAATTCCTGAGAGGAGACGAAATCCAGGTCTCCTACTCCTCCGCCATCTTGCTCCGCCCCCTCTCTTATGTGTCTTTAAACAATTTTTGCTTGGTGTTTAAAAATACGATTGAGGGGGCACGTGGGTGGCTTAGTCAGTTAAGCGCCTGGCTCTTGGTTTCAGTTCAGGTCATGATCTCATGGGTTATGAGGTTGGGTCCCTGCATTGGGCTCTGCACTCAGCAAGGAGTTGGCTTGCAGATTCTCTCCCTCTGCCCCTCCCCCACTCACGTGTGCATATGCACGCACTCTCTCTCAAATAAATAAATCTTTAATAAGATGAAATAAAATAAAATGTGATGGAAAAATTTTGGAGTGCTTGGCAAATTTACATTTTGATGACTAATATTTTTACATTGATTTCTGATATTATATGCTTTCCACCTATTTTTCTTTTCCTTTTTTTTTTAAAAGATTTTATCTATTTGTTAGAGAGAGAGAGAGCATGTGAGCACAAGCAGGGGGAGAAGCAGGCTTCCTGCTGAGCAAGGAGCCCAATGTGGGTCTTGATTCCAGGACCCTGAGAGCATGACCTGAGCCAAAGGCAGATGCTTAACCAACTGAGCCACCCAGGCATCCCTTTCTTTCCTTTTTAAATTTCTTTTGGATTATTTTTCCCCTCTTTTTGTTGGAGAATATATGGTCTTTGTCTCTTCTTTCACTAGTTACCCTAAGTATTTTATTTTTTTTTTAAAGATTTTATTTATTTGACAGAGAGAGAGATAGCAAGAGCAGGAACATAAGCAGGGGGAGTGGGAGAGGGAGAAGCAGGCTTCCCGCAGAGCAGGGAGCCCCATGCAGGGCTCAATCCCAGGACCCTGGGATCATGACCTGAGCCGAAGGCAGACGCTTAACAACTGAGCCACCCAGGTGCCCAGTACTCTAAGTATTTTAATTTGCCTACTTAACAAAGTTAACATTTTTTTCCCTCTCCTCTTGAACAAATCTAAGATCTTATAATAGTTTGTCCAGTCTCCCTCTCACTGTCAACAGCATGCTATTTTTGCCTAATACTTAGTTTTAACATCCCTTTTACAAATCAAGTATTTTTTTTAATACAGTTTTGCTTAGTTTACCCATTATTATCTTTGATATCTTTGCTTGACATTTCTTTTCACATCTCTGACCTTCCTTCTGGGATAATTTTCCTTCTGCCTAGACTTTCTCTGTTGTAATTTCTTTTAATAATGATCTATTGGTGATAAATCCTCTCAATTTTTATCTCTAAAATATCTTTATTTTGCTTTAGTTTTTTTTTTTTTTTTTTTGCCTTACTATTGGAAGAAACTTTCTAGGTTGACAATTATTTGTCTCAGCTCATGGAAGATACTCTTCTGCTGTCTTTTGGCTTCCTATCTGCTGGTGAGAAGCCAGCAGTCTGGTGAATTGACAGATGTTTGGGTGATTACTTTTATTTTCTAGCTGTTTTTAAGATGAAACGTTTTTCTGTGTAGTTCTGCAGTTTCACCACGATGTGTTGAAGTGTCTATCTTTATTTATTATGCTTGGGATTCACTGGGATTCCAAGATCTGAGGTCTCAAAAATTCTCAGTCATTACCTTTATTACCTCTTTTCCATTCTGTTACCTTCTTTTTTTACTTCAATCGGACATATATTAGACATTTCCATCATCATGTTCTGTGTCTCTCTTGACCTTTATTTCATCACATAGCCCATCTCCTTGTCTCTGTAAACTGTCCTTGGGGCCACTTATTCAGTTATATTCTAGTTTATTAATTCTCTCTGGCTTTGTTTGATGTTTAATGCACCCGCTGAATTTTTAATTGTTTTTTATTTTTTGAAGTTATTTTTTTTCTTTCATATCT